ATTCATTTTGTATTTCTGTTTATTACAACATGTGCCAATATTTGTTATATTTTCCTCTGTATCTTCTAAAAGTATGTTTTTGAACAACCACAGACATTCATATTTATGCCAAAACAAAGGGGGTCTTTAGTTTACAGAAACACACAATGAATTGCACGTCACAATGACATTAAAGTATTAAATGGTATTAAAGTGTTAAAACGTATGTAAAGGAACAAGTAACAGGTTTATTCCATGCTGAAAAGAGAAGAGAGAAAACACAGCGTTTCGATTGTGAAGCCTTGTTCAGGTGTGAGCCTTCTTGTTCTTTTGCAGACTACGCAAGCTGACGCAGCTACCCACCTGAACTACTCAAAATGTATGTATACATTTAGATTAAAATGCAGTGACATTTGGTGGACAAAAAACATCATTTTGCACCGTTTTTTTTTATCAGTTTCATTATATCCGGCAAGTATAATCTTTAAGCTTTTTTAAATTAAAAGCTTTAATTACAGCTGCATTCTTGGTAAAAAAATGGTCTTTTGTTGCAGAAGATGTACATGAAAATGTGTCTGTCAAGTCTGTAATAGAAATGAGGAATGAAGAACTTTTGAAATGTGAGCAAAGTGATATTATTTGTGAAACGGTATTTTCTTCTACTTACTGTAATAAAACAGCAATTTTAAGTGAACTCAAATGCATCCAATAAATCATTTGGCTTAACTCAGACAGCCTACAGTAGAAAAGTACAGTATATTAGAAAAAAAGGCGGATAACTTTATTGGATTTTTATTTTCTTTATTGTCCATCATGATTTGGGACTGCCAGTCTATATTAAATTATTTATTTCTAGAAGAGGATAAAATGTAAGTAAATCTTTACACATTTCAGCTCTCTCTGTTATGGAGTATGGAGTTACACAGCGGCAGATGTACACTGAAATCTTTGTCCTCAGCCAGATACGTTCACAGTTAACTTTACGTGCTGGTGCTTTGGCTCTTGTGTTTAAAATAGATGGTGCTTCTGCACTACAGCTGTCAAGACATTTGCGTACAAGGTGACTAAATTAACCAGGCTCTTTAAAGGGCTCCTGTAAGACGACTAAATGGCAGGGCTGAGTGAGCAGGCACGATGTATTTAGGAAGGCAGGGGGGGGGGTATTTTCCTACAGTGTTGCATTTCATTTGATATTTTTTAATAATTCAAAGAGTGCTAGATCCATAGTGATTACACTATCTGGATGTTTTCTATTTTAAAGCCCAGAATTAGAGCGTTGCTCTGAAACAATGGAAGTGTCAAAGCGCATTATCTCCCACGCTGCCTGACAATTCAAAGGGGCTGAAGATGTAGCGATAGTTTTGGTGAACAGATGAATGATGGTGCAGGCTTTTTTCTTTCTTTCTTTCTTTTTTTTTAAAAAAACTTTTCACTCATGAGATGCTGTAACAAGGCTGTTCCGGAAGGATAAAAAAATGTTAAATGAATAATTTACACAATGCGTTTCTTTATTTATTCAGTATTAAGTTGACAGCTACTGCCTGGCCTAGCAGTCTCGTTATGCAAATTCGTGTCTTCTTTGTCTAATCTGAACCCAGGTAGAAATCTGGTATTTTGTGTTGTGAAGAAAAGAAAAAATAAAAGGCTCCTTTAAACTGGGCTTTTCTGACAGCTTGCAGTACCACCAAATACGTTTTTTTATTTTTGTCTAGCACATAGACATATTTGAAGTCAACATGCTACAGAATGCTCATTATAGTGTGTGTTTGGAGTCGAGGCAGGTGACCTTTTGTAAATTATAATGCATACGTTTGTGCAGTGCAGTAGAGAAGGTGCAGACTCTTATTCTTATGCAGCCTTAGTGCCCTGGTTTCTGACCTATAATATTGCTGCTTTTGTATGTACTGTGTATGACATTTTCTCGAAGCTTTTGAAAGCACTTTTGAAAGGAAAAAAAAATGTTCAGGGAAGTGAAAAGAAAGCAGTGTGGTATATTTGCTTTCCATGCGAACCTCTAAAACAAAGACAGTGGATATCAAATATTTCTGTCATTTCCATACATGTCCCGAGCACTTTCAAGCTCAGTGATACAATGCTTACGAGCAGGATGGGGCAAGGCAATTAAAAAACCTTATGTAAGACCCGGGTCTTGACACTCCACTTAGCGATTAGTTTATGAATCTTGTGTGCTCCTGCCTGTCCGAGGTTTGACCATAGCAGGCATGTTTTACTGCATTTCCTTTCATCACAGATTGCTGATGGGCAGAAAGCTTGACTTGCCTTCCTCTTATTGATTGTGCCTTGGAGGGCAGATGTTTGGCGATCCTCGGTGTGCTGTAAAACAGCCACCAGCTTGAATCCTGGAGTGAACTGTTCCAGTGTGAGCTGTCTGTCTTCATGTCGGGCTGCTGTTTTCATTCTGAACTACCTGTGCATCTTAGATTGGGATAAAAAAACGGAAAATGGTATCTAATGACCCGGAGTAAAAAATATACTCACGCTACATCATTTTAGAGTAAAACCTTTTTAACCAACGAGACCCCTTGTCAGACTTTTCTAAAACGGTTTACAACGATTCACAGGTACTGCAGAATAACACAAACTAGAAGGAGAGTCTGTTGCCCGGGGTTATGTGCAGTTTAGAAACTCCACACGCCATTGTTGGGAGAATGTGACATAACATTTGCAATTGCCATAAATTACTAATGTCACAGAAAACAGACTTCTTATTTAGGAGGTCAGTGAGGTTGCTCTATATTCTTTTCTGGTACTCCGTGTTACTGCATTGGATGGCGCAGTGACAATAGGGCCACCAGTAGAGGTCACCGTGGAGACAGCTACAAGATTTGTCTCCCTCCACTTGTTGTATACAAATCCTGAATGTACTGGGAATGTCTGACTGTTCATGTGCTGTAGGGGTCTTATAAAAGGGTATGTCTGCAGGTTCTGAATTTCGGAAAAAGAAGAAGGAAAAGGCAGGGATGGGCTGTAGTTTCTCAAAATCTTAATTGGAGACGGTTGCTATCGTTCAAAGTGTTTTTTTGTTTTAATATTCATTTCATGATATTAACGAATATAAGAAATTGGGTGTGTTTTTCAGTCTTTCACAGCTCGGAGCTCCTCAGCAATGAAACTGTAATGAAGAACATTTAAAACTGAGAAGAGGGCACACTTGTTTACACAAAGGGCTGTGGGTATCTTGAACTTTTGATCTTGTCATGTTGTCCTCCTCTGGCATCTTTTTAGGACTGATAAGATGGGGCCCTCAGCTCAATCAGATACTAGCAGCCAAAATGAGTTAGATGGACCAAATGGTCCCTGTTGTTTCTAATCTTTCTTACGTTCATATTGTGGAACAGTCCAGGAATTAAGCTCAGACTAGGCAGTAGGCTGTGCCTCAGCTTTAAAAAGGTAATATTCTCCCCTCTCCCCCACCCAAAAACTAAACCATGGACAAGTGGAATCTTCTGTCATATCATTTGCTTGACTTCCATTATATCCTTGTGTAATCACAATAAACATCTTTTTGTGTCTTTTTTCACCTCAGAAATATTGCCCGCATTAGGCAGTTTCTATCAATGTTGTGATACTCTTGTTTTTTTTATAGTTTTATAGTACTTTTTTGGTCTTTTTCCTTATCACTGTGAACAGTGTCCTTGGGTTTGGAAAGGCACTTTGTCATTGAACAAAAGAATAGCCCAGCTGGTGTTGTGGGCTTCTGGATGCTATGTAATTTACAGACACTTCTGTTCTTAGATGCCAGGAGGAGTTTATTCCGAAACATGCATTACTCCTTTCCTTTGCAGTGATAGGGGTGTACAACAGCAAGGATGGTTTCCTTTCATTCTTCCAGAAGTTATATTTACACGTTGTGACCCCAAAAAGTTTCCCTCAATGCAGTTATTTGATAAACTGTGCCTGGTACATAACCCTATTTTATCAGTACACAGAATTATGTTGTCACATTATTTTTAATCCCAAAGTTATGTATTATTTTACACTATTTTATAGCCACTTCATTTGTACATTTCACTAAACATACTGAATGCAATTGATTGACTAATTTGGTGCAAGTCTGTTGGCATCATACAGTAACTCACTTATATTTTAGAAGCCCCTTTTAACAGTCATGTTTTTATTAGCACAGTCACCTATATCTTAGTGTTATCAGAGCCATTCTTCCACTTCCATACACTTCTCTCAGAGCTCAGACACTGAATAAGAATGACTGACACACATGATTGCCTTGAAGCAATTTCACCTTTCCCTGCCCCATTTTATTTAGTTATTATAGGTGGCTTGGTGCTGTTAAAATCAGTGCCATACAAATCTTGGGTGTTGAGTTTGATTTTGACCTGGGGTGTCTTCTTTGCGGCCTTTGCTTGTTCTAGCTGTGCCCGTGTTTTTTTTGGGGGGAGTGCCCTATATTCCCCACCTCCTGAAGACATGCTGGGTGAGGTAATGGTTGTCTCTGTGCCTCTGTGTGTGTCCTAGGAAGGACTCGTGTCCCATCCAGGCTGTAATACTCCCTTGCTCCCTACACAGGACTGCTTACCAAGTTAAAGTGACGTTCTGATAATAAATGTACAGAGCAGTTCTCTGACTATGAGATGGTAACATACTGTAGCAGATGGCTTTCCTACTTGTATAGTTTTAGGACTTGTGGACAATTTTTTCCTGCTCACTTCACTGCTGTATTTCTCTCTACCCCTGAAGAAGAATCTCATGCATCATAGGTCCATGACAGGTGGATATATTATGAAAGGATATAAAAAAGGCAGAGGCTTAATTTAAACCTGAATCAGTCTCAAAAATACCTGCATATCTGTTTTTCCCAAGTGTTTCTTTACCCACACTCTGTTTAAATGTTATTACATTTACAATTGCACAGAGGAGGTTTTCCTTGTTCCTCTTGTGAGAGTCTTCCATATCCTGACGCCATCCGCCATAGTTTTAATCTTTGACTCATTAATCTGTTTATTTCCGATTACAAAACATTGTTTTCCTTCATTGCATTGCAGCTCATCTCTGGCAAGACAGGAGCTCTACGAGACGTTTATCAGGTTAGAGGGCAGACATCTGAAGACAGCCTGGGGCTTCGTGATGAAAAAAGACTGAGCTGGTAATAGAATGTTTGTGAAAACTTGAAACCCAGAAACATAAGGTAAGACCCAATTTTGAACTATTCTCTTTTTACCTCTTAGAAAGCATTTGCTTCTGTTTGTTGGTTATAGTTTGGAAGCAACAGACATGTAAAGCATTTGGTTACTCCTACTGGCAGTTGAAGGTTAAGTCTTAATGCTTTCAGTTATTCAAAAAATATTATTCTATGATGTACATGTCTCCTTCAGTATGATAAATGGGTGTCACGTTACTATATCAAAGCCATAATCTTTCCTATTTTTCACTGCTGTTTTATGTAATAATCTTTTGCCCTTTTCTTACATCACCGAATGTAGCTCAACGCCAGGTCATACTTTTATAGATCACAGTTTTTTTTTCCGTCCCTGATACTCCATGGAAATGGAATAAGGAATATTCTGAAATAGTTCTGGAAACTTCAATACTTGCGTCATGCTTTATAATTATGACTGTTATTATAATTTGAAACTTTGGAAGTGGTACTTATTTTAGGTTTGGGCTTGCCTGTGGGTAGTACTGCAGTGGCCCTTGTTGCAGTCTTGCTGTAGGCTGCTGTCCCAGCAATCCAGCCTCCAATGACGTGGCCTTGATTGGAAGAGGGATTCAGCTCTCTCTGGTGACACCCCAAGCTCACAGCACCTCAGCAATTCACCACTTATTTTATTACCAAAAGGAACCTAAATTATTATTGCGTTAACATGCGTCGTGTAGTAGTTACCCAGGCAAACTATACCGGCCCCTTTTTTTTACCCAGCATCCCGTTTTGTTGGCAGTCTCCATAATAATGAAATATAGTACTTTTTTAAAAATTCTTCCTTCGAACAATTTGTTCTCCAACTAGGCCTAGAGACAAAGCCATAGTCAGGGAGGGGCTACTGCTTCGTAAGCATGTCATCTGCCCTGGAGACAAAGGCAGCCCCTCAGCTGTGACCCATCAAGATCGCTCACTTGTTCTTATATTACCTGCAGTCTTAAGAGCTGTGAATCAACCACATGACCTTTCTCTCAGGTGCAGAACACAGACATAAACCACTGAGATGGCAGCACTTATGAAGTAACATTTAAAGGCTTAAGTTCTTTAAATTTAGGCCGTCCCAGATGCCTAATTTTCTGTCTGTGAGGCTCCTAAGATTATGGTGTTGCCAGTTAGCAGCAGCAAACTACAAGCGGCGATGGATTTCATAGTCAAGTCTGCTTTTACCCCTGCAGCTTTTTCCAATTTAAGAAAGAAGTACCTTATTAAATTTGCTGAAGGTCATGTCTGGTTAATTTAACAGCTTTACTGTACTAACTATGGTAATTATTCTCAGAATTCCCTTTGATACTCTGGGACAGTGTTTCCTAGGTTTTTATGCCCAATGAAGACCTGAGAGCTGCAGCTAATTAGCATTGTGACCCCTTCAGCCTATTGATGGATTTTAGTTTTTCTTCTCTAAAAATTGGTATAGTATTCTACTGCTTCAGTTAAACTCAATGACATTCTCCCAGGAAAGGGATCATAACTTCCAGTCACTTCTGTTAATACAAGTTTCCTATTATATTACACATTTAAGCAGTATTCCATCATATTGGATTGTAGTTGTGCAAATAGATGGAAGTCTCCTGGACTTTGTTTTTCTTCATGGGTAAAGAACTGATTGTACAATCTTGATTTTGTTACAAAGGCTTATTATCTGGGTAGAAAAACATGTTTTCATACATGTTGAAAGCCTCAGATACAAACTCCATTGTGTTTTTTAACTGTATAGGTCTGTGGATTTGTTAATCTGTTTAAAATGTATATTGCTTTTTGAACTTTTCCGTCAATTTTCAAAGTTGCTCGTTTTAAGTACTACATATACCTCTGAGCGATGTCATCTCTCAAGAGAAAATTGAAGCATGAGAATGAGAAGTACTTGCTCAACTCTAATACATAATCACTTAGGGCAGATTGAGGAAGCAGCTAAAGCACAATCTGTCTTTGTATAACATTAGCTTTTTGACTTTAGACTTCAATCAATTTCCAACAGCAATAAAGCAGGTAAATGCAGAGGGTCTTCTTCACTATCTTAAGATATTTATGGTCTCATCTGTGAGTGTAATCTTCATAGCTGACTTGGGTTTAATCTTGATTTTTCTTTGCTGCATCTAGTATCCCTGGCCAGTGCATTTAATATTATTTTAAAATAAATCCAATTATCTCCTGTTGCATGCACTATACAGATCTAATTACTTAAGACACTTTCATGTAGATTTAGCGATTTTTTAACCGCTGAACTCAGTGCATTCTTGATACATATCAATTTGTATAGTTTGTACCAACTGTACTATTTGATTAAAGGGCCACCACCTTGTGCACAATATGGACATCATTTCGAAAATTACTGAGAAGTACCAAGAGATCCCAGCTGATTTTAATACAGTATGTTCCCCAAAGCTTTGCTTATGAGTTGTGAATGACAGTGTTTGAGTAGCTCTTTTCTTTGTTCAGGCCTGATGGTGAACCAGGAGAACAAATACATCTAATACATCTACCTGTGTGACTGCAGTGACCGTAGCTTGACTTTGATCCAGATGATAGAACCCTCGGCTCTTGGGACAGCTTAGTTAGTGTCCCAAAATAAATAAATATATTGCGTTATTCACCGTGGTTCAGACGAAAGCTTTCATAAAAGAACAATGATCCTCAGGCCAGACTTCTTTAATTATCTTTTAAAACAAAAATAGCTAAGTTTGTTCTGACTTTTATCAGGGAACATTTAATGTGATCAATTAACACTTTCCTGTAATCATAAGGAGTTTTACTATCCTTGTAGTTCACAAGGAGACATACATTTAGATTTTAATTCTTCCATTTTTGCTCACTGAGCCATAATTTAAGAATAAAACACAAAAATAGTGTGTTTACAGTGACTGGTACATAAAACAACATACAGGTTGGAAATGAAGGACAGGTCGGAGGATGCCATCTTGCATTTAAGATTTTAATAGGTTCCCCTCATCAAGACATTAGATGATATACCAACACCCAGAATTTGTGCGTATATAATATACTGTAGTTACCATTATAACACAAGACAGGATACAGGTCAACTGAAACCTACTGCAAATGTAAGATTATGAGTCTGAAATTAACCTTACTTGTAATATATATAATTATCTTATTCAGCAGCAATAAAAGCTGTACCCAATTTGAAAACTTGACATACACATTTTTGTATATTTCAAGTAATTGGAGAACACAAGAAGACTAGGTGCACAACAGAGGTTCTTAAGGCTGTTTCGTGTTATTTAAGGAATATGACTAATCCACAAGGTTATACTTAGTTCTGAAAGATGATAAAAATAGCTTTGCTCCTGGGTCTTACAAATCCTTTGTATTTTCTTTATTATTAAAGTAAGTATTAAGTACTTACCAGGCATCATGTAGAAATTACAGTCTCCACTGTGCATTTTACACAATACCTGGACAGTCACATTCCTTGAATTCTCAACTGATGATACACTGATACCTATATACAGTGTTTTTTGTGAGCGCTTCACGGTTAGGCAGGACAAACTAACTAAAAGTAATTTTTGCTGTCCCCAAGCAGTCATACTTTTCTCCTTTGTGGTAAAATACAGATTCCACAATATGAGGATATATTTGGGGAAAGAGATTTGTTTTAATACCGTCAGGCTCGCCCCGGCTGCTGCTCTGCAGGGGGGTGGGGGTGGGGGGATTGGCATCCGGTCCACCCCAACCACTCAGAACCGGTTGCCATGAACACCAAGTGACGGGAGACCTGGATCACCTGGAGGCAATCACCATCCTGGTGTTCCAGGTGATTCAGGGATATTTAAGGGCTGCTAGGAATCTGCTGAGGGGTCTTGAGTTTATAGAGTTTGGACTCTAAGCCTCCCAAGTCTCAAGTTTGTTCCTTTCATATCGATCAATGTGGGTTGTATAAGGGAGGCAATAACAAAGCAAGAGGGAGAACCAGTAAGTGTGGTCGAGAGAACAAGCAAAAGTCAAGCTCTTGCGTTTTGAATTTCTCCTCTTGACTGAGCTTGACTCACCCTGTTTTGGATAATTCTCCAGTGCTTTCGCTTGTTTCCACCTCAGTGGCGAGCCTGCAGTTCTGTGACCGCTGCCTGGCTGCACAACTACAAAGCTGTGTCTCTGTCTGCGATCTCTGCTTTAAACCCCTGATTGCTACACCACCATTTCACCTGAGGCTTTGAACCCCTGCTTGCCAGCAGCACTGCACTGCGACCTCCGTCAACGCAACACAGTTTGCCTGAGTTTCATCTGTCTCTCACCCAGCAAGGGGGTTCTTCTATACAACTCCCGATCCACTGCTAGACCCACCAAGCAGCGGGATCAAAACAGATTCACAATGTGATGTGTTGCTGTGAAGTAGTAATACTAACCTCCCAATCTTTCCTTATATCTGCCTATAATACAAATTTGCAAAAGCGTAAACAGGCTCACTCATTTGTTTTGTTTGAGCAATATAGTACCCAAATCTAATATATGAAGTGTGATTTAGACTTTCCTTTGTGTAGATCACAGTCAGCAGAATTACTCCTCAAATGACCTCTGCTAATACCTCCTCTTGTTTGTAACACTTGTTCTTGTAAATGTTCTTATCTCTAACAATAAATCTATCTTTATAGGACCACAGCAGTCCTCTGTCAGCATATTCAGTGTTAATGGTAGTCCAAAAACCATGCTCTTAACACCTGAATCGTAATTCAAAACATGCACGCTTTACTGGAACCCAAAAAACTGAGACTTCATTGTAGCAGAACTTCTAAATCCCACATGCTAAATGTTAAGAGCTGAAAGTTTCCATGAATAACAAGTACATTTCTCAAGGCTCACATTTCTATTGATCCTTTTCGCCATTTGTTTCATTGATCGCCTTTCACTAAGCTTTGAACATAGTCCTCCCTGCACTAGGTTAATTAGCATCATAGAGTTCTGTTTATTTACAAAGATCAGCATTGTCAGCTGCACACTTAGAAAGAGTGGGGGGAAACTTGCCGCTTTGTGCAATG